CATTTAAATTAATAGTACTGTACCCTGTCAGTAAACTTTATAACTTGTTAATGTGAATTTAATAACACAGAACCAACTTGTGTATTTGAAACAGCTGACGAAATTCTTTTATTCGTTTTAAATATTACTCATAAGGTTAACATGGGAAATTCCAGAGCCACTGGGGCGGAGCCCGACCGGACTTTTGAGATAAGAATGCGTCTATGTTAATCGGGAATGTGAGCTATCATCACACCAAATTTCAGCCCAATCCGGCCAGTATTTTCTGCGTTTACTTGTCACAAACATAAATCCATACATCCAAACTTTCTCATTTATAATATTAGTAGGATTAGTAGGATATATATATATATATATACCATAATACCATATAACCACACTACAAATTTAATTCTACAATATACGGTACGTAGTTTTATCCAAACAAACGATCAAAAACCCCGAATGAAATTTTTAATTGACTCAATAGTCAATGCATATAAGCGAGTCTTATCTTTCGATGCAGATTAAATAATACAAAGGCAGAGGAATGCGCGAGACCAAGGACAATGTCACGGCACGGTTGCTATAGAAACGACGCAGCGAGAATTGCGCGCCAACGTCAACTTAACGCCAGACTGTGTAAACACGCCGCGTGTATAGTATTCGACGGAGCTAGTACTTTCAGTTGGCAATACTGGCTTCTAACCTAGAGCGAGGTGGTTCAACCATGAGAAGCGCCTCAAACTCCTGGGTAATCCCCAGTTAGCTCCTCCCACTCTGCCCCCTATCCCCACCTAAAAGACGAGCAAGTGGTAAGTCGGTCGGGAGGATTGACGACAAGTTGGTTTCTCGAATATAATAATTTAGTTTTACAGGCCGGTCAACTGGACTGACGATGAAATAACTTGTCGACGTACTGGTTTTCAGCATTTATCTATTTAATTAAAAAAGACGGTCTAGTGGCCAGACGACCAAGTATCTTGTCGGTCTACTGGTAGGCTCCCATAAAGAATACCTTACTATTTTGTGCGGTTTGGTTTTGTGTACAGTATAAAAAGTGATTCAAGTTCAGCGCTAACCAACTTGGAAATTCAAACATATTGTTTAATCTTTGAACATCCTTGTGGTGCTGAAAGCTGTTACCGGAAGTGTTGCAGAACTCAGTTATCAAGGAAGTCAGCTGTTAACACCTCGTCTTGCACCAACACGTCCGTTTGTTATCAGTCAATCCACACGCGCCTCCGCCAACAATGTTTATACATTGATAACAACACTCGTTTGTTCTACCAGGAGTATTTTCGGATTTTCTTGCACGTGCGAAATACACTAAGCTGCTTAAGGAATTACTTGGCACTATTTTATTCAATAAACGTATAAATTAAGTTTTTAAGATCAAGACTTTTGGATGCGAAAGACTGGAGCCGTTATAACTGCATTAAAGATGCGACAGTTAACAATAAGATATTTTTAACAATTTGGTTTAATGAAAAGCAACTGTCTTTGAAACAGTACAATCTTTTGGTGGATTTATTGAACCAAGTCCTTTACGGAATACAGCCTCAACAAGAGGGTGGGAATGTCTAATCCAAAATAGGCCACAGTTAACTGTGATAGCCGTTTAACACCATTGAAAAAAAAAAACAATACCTAAAGTAATATGGTAATTTAAATAATTTTTTCTACACGATCCTGCTACACAACATATGTGTCAAGTGACAGAAAAATTCTAGTTCGCCTCGTGTTCCGCGTTCCCGGAGTGGTGAGCGATTTGCGAGACAGAGACACAGTTGACACGATTGTAGATAGTTGTGATCGAAGTGGGATGTGAATGTACCGGAATGCAGCAGCCTTGGCGTGTAATGACGACAACGGTACATCCCAGCGTGATGGAGGATCACGCACAGCCGTGCCTCCGCCTCCACCTTGGACCGTTGCCCCTTGGACACCCACTGACTACCGGGGGTCAGGGAGACAGAAGACGTCGGTCCAGGTACAGAGGCTGTCAGGGACTGTGTTCTTCTACACTTTGCGTTCTTTGTTTCGCGAGGCTGTTTCTGGATCACAGCAGAGAAAGACAAGTCCAATAGGCGCACAAAATGAAAATGTCTCATCACACGAAAGAATTACTGTAAGTTATTAAAATGCGATTGGGGCATTCGATCTGTAAATTTGGAAACTAGAGGATAGGTTATCTCATTAAACAAAAGCGGTTTTACACAACACACCTGATCCTTCTACATACTATTTGACGGACAGAAATTTATTGTTTCATTTCATGAGGGCAACATTTTATAAATTACTTCCATACAAATATTTAAACTGCTTGTGGATACGTAACTTGAGTGTTTTCAAGATTTCACAACCGTAGTAACGTACTATTAACGGAGCACCTGTACGGTTATTGCAGTTACTATTGATTTCCAACCCCAATAAATCAGCTGATTCCCAGTGCTCCACTGCTAGAGGCGGAGCGTCTCTCACGATCAGACTGAGTCGTGCAGTCATCACCGTTCATGCGTAAATAGCCTAACGAGCTCAGTTACAGCGCTGCGTACTGCGTCGGCGCAGTGCACTGCATATCTACTGTCGCTGAGTACTGCGTTGGCGCAGTGCACTGCATATCTACTGTCGCTGCGTACTGCGTTGGCGCAGTGCACTGCATATCTACTGTCGCCGCGTACTGCGTTGGCGCAGTGCACTGCATATCTACTGTCGCCGAGTACTGCGTTGGCGCAGTGCACTGCATATCTACTGTCGCTGCGTACTGCGTTGGCGCAGTGCACTGCATATCTACTGTCGCTGAGTACTGCGTTGGCGCAGTGCACTGCATATCTACTGTCGCTGCGTACTGCGTTGGCGCAGTGCACTGCATATCTACTGTCGCTGAGTACTGCGTTGGCGCAGTGCACTGCATATCTACTGTCGCTGAGTACTGCGTTGGCGCAGTGCACTGCATATCTACTGTCGCTGCGTACTGCGTTGGCGCAGTGCACTGCATATCTACTGTCGCTGCGTACTGCGTTGGCGCAGTGCACTGCATATCTACTGTCGCTGCGTACTGCGTTGGCGCATAGCACTGCATATCTACTGTCGCTGAGTACTGCGTTGGCGCAGTGCACTGCATATCTACTGTCGCTGAGTACTGCGTTGGCGCAGTGCACTGCATATCTACTGTCGCTGCGTACTGCGTTGGCGCAGTGCACTGCATATCTACTGTCGCTGAGTACTGCGTTGGCGCAGTGCACTGCATATCTACTGTCGCTGCGTACTGCGTTGGCGCAGTGCACTGCATATCTACTGTCGCTGCGTACTGCGTTGGCGCAGTGCACTGCATATCTACTGTCGCTGCGTACTGCGTTGGCGCAGTGCACTGCATATCTACTGTCGCTGAGTACTGCGTTGGCGCAGTGCACTGCATATCTACTGTCGCTGAGTACTGCGCTGGCGCAGTGCACTGCATATCTACTGTAGCTGAGTACTGCGTTGGCGCAGTGCACTGCATATCTACTGTCGCTGAGTACTGCGTTGGCGCAGTGCACTGCATATCTACTGTCGCTGAGTACTGCGTTGGCGCAGTGCACTGCATATCTACTGTCGCTGAGTACTGCGTTGGCGCAGTGCACTGCATATCTACTGTCGCTGAGTACTGCGTTGGCGCAGTGCACTGCATATCTACTGTCGCTGAGTACTGCGTTGGCGCAGTGCACTGCATATCTACTGTCGCTGAGTACTGCGTTGGCCGTTGCGCGACGTATAGTTGGGTTTCTTAAGCAACCAAAAACTAGCCTTAACTCCAAAAAGCTCTCTCTGCCTGAAAAAATATTGTGTTTCTCTTGTTTGAATGCAGTGTGCAGTCAGCAGTTCCGAAAAAGAATGTTTTACCTATTCATTGCTTCTTTCGCGCCGGCGAACTGCATTGCTCACAGCGTCGTTTCATAGGACTTACGTCTTTGTACTCATCTGAGTAGTGCATTTTATACGTCAAGACATCGGTATAATGAATTCTTAGGATCATTTCCATTAATAATTTAATTTACTAGTAGGAGTCGAAGTGAGGGACATATATTAAAATTACATACAAAATAAATTTTTGGTGAAACTTGGCTCTTACAACCCAAACAATATATTTATGAATTTAGATTTGGGAAGAATATCAAGGGTTTGTTTTTTTATAATCACAGGGTTAGCACGAACGGGGCAGCACAACTCAGGGAAAAGAGAGGTTAGGGAAAGTTGTCAAAATTTGCAGGCTGGTATCATGTAGCAACAGTAATAATTTTATAAATATCAGCAAATCTGTGTGACGCAAATACCTTTCCTAAACTAAGTGGGTAAGCCAAAACTAATGTTACCAGCCAAAAAACTTTTTTTAACAAGGAAACCTTTCTGTTCATGATTGACTTTTGTAGTTGTACGACTCGTAAGACCTGTTCCCACTTTTGCATTGTTATCAGAAATGTCGTCGCGCTGGAATGCTAGCTAATAACTATAGCGGGCAACTCAAGTACAAGCGAATGTGTTTTCAAGAGTCGACACCACTTAACGCTCGACACGCCTTTGTATTACCAAGACTTTGCTAACTGTCGTTCTCTGGTATTGACATTCCTTGGTCATCGACCTTCGAGTAGGACTAATAGGCCTAGGTGTTGTGTGCGAAAATGTTTAGTTTAATATTTTGAAATTTCATACATCCATTTTGGATCGCTAGACTGTAGGCCTACGCTGCAATGTGCTGGATCTTAATGGTTATTTAAGACTAAAATCTTGTTCTAAGAGAGATATATCCCATTTTACTGTTTTTCATAATGGAATAGAACTCTCTCCCCCTATCAAAAAGAATGATCGGGCATCTCCAAAAATTAAATTACTGTATTCAGTCACTGTCACTTATTGGAAGACGAATAATTAACCAAATATTAAATGATTAGAAAAAATAAATCATATTCCTACTCTTGAGGTATCCATGTTTAGTCAACCGTACTAGTGAATGTTTATCAATATTGGTGTTTATGTTACAGGTCCTGGGACCAGCGGACTCTACGTGGCCGCCCTGCCGTAGAAGGAGTCCTCCACGACCACCGCCCCCACACACACGGTCAGTATACAATACCACATACTACACACACACACACACACACACACACCCGTTGTAGTACCACACACTCATAGTAGTAACAATACGAAATACGAGTACAGCTTACAAGGGTCAATAATACAGGGTATGTTTGAGAGGGTGGTGATAATTAATTTAAAGGTGAATACACTAATAAATCATATTATGAAATGGACATATTTGGGCAAAAATTAATTTGAGTGGGTTAAAACTATTCCATCTGGGTTTAGAGCAAAAATTATCTCTGCAAATTTTCATCCAGTACCTCTTTTCTGTGCTGAAATATAAAAAAGTAAATACTTTTTTGAATAATTTTCGTTGAAATGGTGACCATACAAAGGAGATGAGTGTAGGATGAGTGGCGCAATCTTGTAGTCTTGTTAGTGTATGGCCGATATATTCCTTGGACACGGCTGTTAATTAATAGCCCAAACATCTAATGGCAACCGTCGACATGGCAACTAAGGGACCTACAGTTTGTAATGGAATCCGAACCACATTTTTTCCTTGGTATTAACGAATTGGTCTAAATATCAGGATAATACTGCGAATAGTCGTTAAAACAACCTAACATATGAAACACCACAGCACAGGTTTTATCTGTCAATCATGCTTGTGTAAAGTACCATATCAACTCCCTCACGAGCGATACAGTAATAGGTGTAGACTGTAGGCAGTATACAGTCAAGGCAGGATCTAGTAGTGTTGGGTAAAGTATTGTAGTGTGTGCCGAATCGTACCGTCCAGTGGTGAATATTGTATACGATGGGGTGGAAGACGGACCTCAATTGTCTTAGAGGGATACAGCAACACGCTATTGGGACGTTTCGTTTCCTCATCAATAGTTCAAGAGACTAACCTCTAAAAAAGTACATTCAATCGTACGCGTTGATATACGTGATGCAATTAAACCCCGCTATCCGTCACATTCAATCCACAACAGTACTGATGAGTTTCCCAGGTGCGTTCCGATAGGTTTTCGTACAAGCATTTGAGGTTGGGTATATTCGGTAAAAGGTTTCGATACTTATTAATGCCTCCTTTTGGCCTAATTACTGGATATAGTTTATTGTTATTCCTGCTATCCCCACAAAAAGCTTATTTTTTATGGTACTCAGTAACCAAGCACTCTTGGCAATCTAGCACTGTCAGACTCTCGAACATGCTGGATTTGAGTGTTAATGTTTCTGTACAACTCTATTGCAACTCACTAAAAATTTCACTGAAAATCGAATCGCTGCGTTTGGTAAAGGCGCTCGAAATCGCATCGATGATTCTCTAACGTGCGTTGGCAGACGCTGAACTATTAACGCAAGATTACAATCTCCCTGCATAATTAAATTATAACTATAAACAATTTTAGACAATACACATTGATAATACAGACAGCTGAGTAGGCGAGGACAAGGTAGATATTGATCAGCTGATGACTCAAAGACCGGAGAAGGGACGGGATCATGCGAGTGGGTATGTAAACAATCAGCTGTTCCGGCTATTGCCGCCATGTGATCGACATTATGGCGGGAACTGCTCATTGTTGATAGTTCGTGTTTACGGCATAAGCCGGGTGAATACGAATCTTGGTTTATTAGTATGAGGAAACGTGGCTTATATGTTGGCGGATGTTAGCAACGTGTACAAAAACTACGACTTTGAATTTGTAATGCTTCGTTATCGGCACGCGAACATAATACTTCATAGTTGTACGAAAGTACGTTGGAGAAATAATATATGTTGTAACTCGGTATTTTTTATCTGTTTATTACGAAAACTCTTGACTAAAATTAGGGGCAAATAGGTGCGAAATAGATATCATACTTAAAAACAAAATTTAGAAGAGTGTACGGAGTTATCGAGGAAGATCAAATCGATTGTGATTTGGTGGAAGAAGTTCATTACAAAAATAGAATATTAATTGGTTGAAGAAGTGTAGAGAAGACAGAACTCTATCATAGAATTGCAATGGATAATTTCTCAAGAAGAACTAAGGAGGAAATGAACTTAAAACCGTCATGAATGCTAAGATATTATATTGGTCAAATATACTTCACACACAGTCAATTTCTACGCAAAATATTATATATCTAAATAAAGATATATCTTGCAAGGAAGTAGTTGAGGTGCACTGGTGCAGGTGTAGAAGGAGACAATTTTGTGAACACAGGTGGTGGGGAACACAAGCAATGGAGCCGTCTTTGGAACTCGCATTGCGTTACATAGAGCCTAGTCTTGGTGTGTGTTGAACGTTAAATTTTATGGAATAGAGTCGGCCTACACAACAACACGACATCTTCATACGAGTTCAGTCCCTGCTGGGCTTATGAGCTGTGAATCGTAATAAACATAATAGAAACGTCCCGTGTGGTTGTGATACCGAGATATAGAGTTACGTCGTTAGTTCAGTCGGAATGCATTAGAAACTACGGTTTACCTTAAGATTATGTGGAATTTCTAAAATGTCTTGATTGGAATCGTTAACACATGTTACTGTGGTCATAGGTTGTGCTTTAATACGTCTAATATCACTTTAAAATATATAGGGTGTCCCACGAAGGGGTTTAAATGTTTGATTTTATATTACGTGCCCATTCATGCACCGAACTTTTTTAAACTTTACACAGTTTACAAAGTAGGTTCTAAAAATATTCTGGAAAGATTTCAACTCCCTAACCTTAGTAGAAACAAAATGGCGGCATATTGAAAACAATACTTTAAAAACTTAAAAAAAAGGTATTTTTGGTTTTATAAAATATTAATATCAGTGTGTTGCTGTGAATGGGTTACGGTTTCAATAATTTTGGACATTAAAGCTTTCCATTAGGCTATGTTCTAGTTTTTTTTTATTTAAAAGTCATATTGCCCTGGAAAATAACAATAAAAATATTTTATAAAACCAAAAATACCTTTTTTAATGTTATTAAAGTATTGTGTTTCAATATGCCACCATTTTGTTTCTACTAATGTTAGGGAGCTGAAATTTTTCCAGAATATTTTTAGAACCTACTTTGTAAACTGTGTAAAGTTTAAAAAAGTTTGGTGCATAAACGGGCACGTAATATAAAATTAAACGTTTAAACCCCTTCGTGGGACACCCGGTACATATTTACATATGCACTATACTTATAAAGAAGGCTACAGAAAAGTTTACATCCTGTTGAATGATAAATGTTCTTGACTGTGTGTTTCTATCGTAATCAGACACAATTGGAGATGAATACAAGAACGCAAAAACAAGGAACATAAAATAATGTGGTCTGTTCAAATTACTAATGAACAGCATCCATATTGGGTTATGGATGAGTGTATGTATTTATACACTTGATTTGTAGCATATACAAATCATACATAACGGCAAAATTAATGATTTATTGCAATAATTATGATTTTTGTCGGGGTTTAAATCCTATATTAAGGATAAATTAGGTGCATTTAACAATATTTCTCATTTAAAAAACAACAAAACCAAAATATCTAAGTACACAAGAAAAAAAAACAAGAACTATACCTACGTAATAGAAGCAATTTTACTTTTAGTTGGTTGTTTTCTAAGTATTCTTATGCCTAAGTAATACAGCATTAGCAAGACTAAACAGTGAATTCTGAGAAGCATAAAGCAATCACTATGGAGGCACAAAAATAAACTAGAAACACATTGTACACATGTTGTCTCTAGAGAAAAGTCTATGTATTTATATTTTATTATTGTAGGTTCACACATTTGGTTCTTTTGGAATTTGGGCTAAGTTATGTCTCATAGATCTATAAAGAATTTTTTTAGTTTAATCATTGGATTTAACATATGGACCAACACGATCCGGGTGACATTTAATTGCGAAGCAATTGTTTTGGCTTTAAACTTTCAGATACTGGTTTTGCTAAGGTTTATATATAATAGTTTTGCCCGCATATCTGAAAAAGGTTTCAACTGACTACTGTAAGATCCCCGTGCTTAGAAATGGCACACAGCTAGTTCACACATAAAGTTTGTACTTTAAAGATCTAAGTCTACTGGGGTTTTGTGATAATTTTTAGTTTCTACGCTGGCATTAATTGGGAATATTAAATTTTCGAAAAGATACCCAAACCCCTGGGATTTGCTTTGATGTGCTGAGAATTGAACCCGTCCTTCTCGCACCGTTTAATACACAAACACTTGGCTACACCCATGGATTTGGGGGATTTTTCACCTCAATGTCCCAAAAGCAAATTTATAATCAGTTAAATGTCAACATTCAACATTCCAGACATCTTCATGAAACACACATCTACTTGCTCTCGCAGTCGTCGTCGGTTACCTGATACATGCCCGAACTGCCCACTGCCCAGCTATGCCCGGACTGGACAGAAAGTGATATAAATGCATGGAAGGTACACCGAGTCCCCGGAGACTGAGCGGATGTTTACAACCACAACACATGTCCGAGCCAAGATCAATAACATTGGAACTTCTTACTTTACTTGCTCTGCAATACTGGGTGTATGTTACCGGAGTCGTCTCAACATGTATAAATACTCAAATACTAAACTTTTCTATATACGCGAAGCAAATAACACAACCTGAACTATTAACATGGGATGTAATGAATAATGTCAACTTTATGTTTTTTTATGTAACCTACATTTTAAAAAAAAGGTATAATTTACCTGTATATTTGTCCCTACACTTTGCACAGTGACCTTCATGCAACTCAATACCAAATTCCGATGAGATCGACCTAAATATAAACTCTTATGACAATACAAAATTGTACTTTTTGTTCTTGTTTAGTACTGGTACTATTATAAGTTCTACAATAGTTCCATTTTCACTTTGACTGGATTTAGGTGATGTTTTATTAGCCACAACCAAATCGCAGCTGACATTAAAATAACATTAAAATGACATTAAATACGTTCACTTGACAAAGTCATATGAAGTTGCTAGAAGAAAATAATTGTAGGAAAGGGTAGTCTAATAGTACTCGATAAATATGAAAGACCGT